GTGTATAAGAGACAGGAGAGAGAGAGAGAGAGAGAGAGAGAGAGAGAGAGAGAGAGAGAGAGAGAGAGAGAGAGAGATGGCTGATGTGTTGATTGGTAGGTTTGACAGAGATTGTGGAAATGGGCAAACCTTGGTCCGCAACCCGAGGGTCATGGCAGCGCACTCCGAGGTCGTCATCTGATTGAGGCTGTGAGCCAAGAATTGGATAGTTGTGCAATTATATCGGTTAGCGTTACCAAGCCCTTGGTTGAGGATATATGGTATTTGAACGAATCATGCGGCTGTGTTGATGTGTTTCTACATGTGGTAGTTACTTGGATTGAGAGGCAATTCGAGTTATTGATAGGCTCAAGGGACAGTAAAGGATGCGGCTGTGTTGATGCGTTTCTACATGTGGTAGTTACTTGGATTGAGAGGCAATTCGAGGTATTGAAAGGCTCAAGGGACAGTAAAGGATGCGGAGTTCTTTTTGAAAGCAGTGCACTGGTTATGCCATGACTAACATTTTGGTCCCTTTATCGTTTGTTTGCCTGTGTTATTTCTTTTTGTCTGTTTTGCTTCATCTTCGTCCTTTCCTCACTCACTGTTCTTCCCCTGCTCTGCTCCTTTCCTCCATGAGTCCATCCCATTCGTCCACCTTGGTGGATGGCATGGAATCGCAGGCCTTTGTCTGATGAGGAGCTGGATGCCATGTTTCCACAGGAGGGCTATAAAATCCTGGAACCGCCAGCAAGCTATGTACCTATCAGGACCCCAGCCAGGAAGCTGCTCGCGACACCGACCCCTGTTGGCGGCACTCCTATGTATCAGATACCAGTGGAGGACCGTACTCAGCAGTTTGATGTCCCTAAAGAGCCTCCAGGAGGCTTGCCTTTCCTGAAGCCCGAAGATTACCAATACTTTGGGTCCCTCTTGAACGAGAAGGAAGATGAAGAAATGAGCCCGGAGGAGGCCAAGGAGAGAAAGATTATGAAACTGCTGCTCAAGGTCCGTTGCCATTATCTGATGTACCTTCGCTGCACTCCCACCTCGTTAACAGGGAAAAGGTGTTGACTTGCATGGGTGTGCCATGTGCTGTATTATATCATATCCTCGACACGCCTGCCAAATGTAGAGCATGCAGAATATCCACCAGTGGCCACCATTTGCTAGGGTAACCGAACAATCGCTCGCCACATACTTGCTGCTGAAACTTGCATTACATGCCTTCAAAAAATGTGCAAGCTTTATTTTCCAGTCGCAATCTATACATGATCCTTCAGCACTACATACAGCGAAGTGGCCATGGCTGAGGCAGCGCGGCCAGCTGCAGGGTGCACTAGCCATGATATGTAACCTGTATGGTGGTGATGCATTTTTCTCTGATTGTCAGCTTAATCGGGCTGCGGTGTTTGACACCTGGGATTCCTAAACTTTGGGAGGGTTTTCTCAACCATGTAATTTTCAACGCTGGATTCAATGATGATGCTATTGTCAAAGATTTAGCCAAAGAAAAAAAGATTGTCAGAGTCAGGAAGTTGTGAGGTGTGTATCAGGTTTTCACCGTAGTGAAGCCGAGGACGACAGCTTGTCAGATGACAAAGGGGACATCCCAGCTCAGGTTTGCTTCACTTTTTTTTGTTTTGTGGTGATGCATGGAGCGGGATTGGAGTCATAATTAGAGTCAGGTAGATGTGTGACAGCCCATTTGTGCAGTCGTCTGACCACTGTTGCCTGTTAGACAGTCATGGAAATGACACGTCACCTAACCCATGGCCATGGGTGCGAGGGTACGGAAACTGGATGTCCTCTAGTCAGCAACCGCATGGGTTCCTGCCTGCAATTATTGCTGTATTCACTTTGACAAACAGAGAAATGTTATAATGGTATACGCTGGCAGGTGGAAGCTGAGGTCAAGGATTGTAGGGGGAGGGAGTCAAGGGGTGTGTCAAGGGGGTGTCAGGGGAGTGGATCTAGAAGGGACACTCAAGGATATGGGTTGGTCATGAGGGGGGGCTTAAGGTAGGGTATTAAGGGCCTGTGAATGGCAAGGGTTCAAGGAATGGTGAGGTAAGGAGGAGCTGGTAAGCCTTGCAGAAATATGTTCGTCGGCTTGGGCCTACCAGACCACAATGGCTGGCGGTGCCAGCCCGTAAAGTAAAGAAAGTGCGTCGCTGGCGGTTTGGAAAGGCTTCGCATGCAGTGCAGCTGGTCGAACACTTGCAAAATGTGTTCATGGCACCTGGATTAAGCATTGGGGTCAAGGGGGGTTGTCAAGGGAGTGTCAGGGGGGTGGATCTAGAAGGGAGACTCAAGGATGGAGTTGGTCAGTGAGGACGGTGTTACGGGAGGGGTGGTTTAAGGGGCACGGTGGGCTAAGGAGGCTCTGGGAACGAGGGGGAGGTGCAGCATCCAAATGTGTTTTAAGGGCCACTGGGGTGGTGGATGCAGGTGATTAAACCACCAGTCTGTGCCAGCATTGTTTTCCTGGCCCGCTCTGCTGCTCGACTCTAAAAGTAACGAACTGGTGCATCCACGGAATTGCCGTGCGCCACCAGCCTTTTCTGTCCCGTAGGCGCAATACGCGATTCTGAGGTGTGTAACCTCCATATCGGAATAACATACCTGGGAAATGGTCTGGTGGTTTAAGCAAGAGTTGGTAAAGGGTTGCAACCACCAGTCTGTGGGAGCCTGCATCCACCAGTCTGTGGGGGAAAAATAAGAAACCTGTGTGTTTGGGAAATTTCCAGGCGGGCCAGCCTTTTCTGTCCGGTAGGCCTGATCTGGGATTTTGAGGTGTGTTTACTGCAGATTGGAACAAGATTGCTGGGAAATGGGTTGGCGGCTTAAGCAAGAATTGGTGAAGGGGTGGAATGCAGGTGGTGTTTAAGTGGGGAATTTCCCCCCTCTATCTCTGGAGGGGATCTAAGAGGGGTAGCATTGGTGGGGAAATCTTATTGGGGTGTAGGATAGCCATCTCCACTTACAAAGGAACAAATTGAATAAAAAAGACATGGCATGAAACTGCGGTGCTGCCGGATTTGTTTGTCCGCCATGCTTCATGCTATAAATGTTGTTCTTTCATGTAAGGAGTCCTCATGCTCTCTCGCTCTCTCCCAACCTCCTTTGCTGTTTCTCCCTCTCTCTCTCTCTCTCTCTCCCCTTGCCTCCCTCTTTTCCAATCTCCTTGTGTATCATAACTCTCTCGTTTCGCTCTCTTATTTACCAATCCTGACTCACAACTATCTTCATGCCTCCCCTTTTTTCCTGACAAGTTATGTCAAGCAATGCAAAGGGGTTAATTTTGGTGCGCATGATATTCTTGCTGTGTGAAGGTCAAGAATGGCAGTCCTCCTCAGCGGAAGACGGCTCTTCGACAGCTCACCGACAAAGCGCGGGAATTTGGTGCCGGGGCGCTATTCAATCAGATATTGCCTCTGCTAATGTCTCCTACTCTGGAAGATCAGGAGCGGCATCTTCTTGTCAAGGTGTGCAAATTTCTGAAACCTGGTTTACAAATTTACAGTTTATAACAGAGGAATGGTGGA